TAGTTTATTTATAATGTAAGATAAGGGTTAAACCCTAAATACAGAATGGGCTAAGCCCAATTAACAGAAACACACAACATAACATCTAACAATAAGTGTTCGAAGTCCCACATTGACCAGAGATAAGGTCAATTTAGAGTATATAAGTGGGTGCAAACCTCACTTTACAAGCCGGTTTTGTGGGGCTGAGTTAGGCTTAAAGTTCACTTCTTAACATGGTATCAGAGCCAGGTTAGAGCCTATCCTAACGAGATTTGTGTTGGGCATATTGTTCCACCTGCTATAGGGCCGGTATCGGACCACCCATTAATGTCTAGTCTCACGCTCAAGATGTATATACCTCGGCGTGAGGAGGGGTGTGTTGGAAGTCCCACATCGACTAGAGATAAGGTCAATTTAGAGTATATAAGTGAGTGTAAACCTCATCTTACAAGCCAGTTGTGTGGGGTTGAGTTAGTTTTAAAGTCTACTTCTTAACAATACAAACATATTATAATTTATAAATGGATGCAAATCTTACTTTATAAACTAGTTTTGTGATGTTGAGTTAAGTTTAAAGTTTATTTTCTAAGAAATTTGTTGAGTACTTATCAGTTAGTATTAGAGTTTGTTCTTAGAGTCTTATAAAAGGTCTAACCTTGGAGGGATTGATAAAAAAATGTTAGGTGAAGTGTCATAGAGTTCCTTTATTGAGACATTGTTTTAATAAGGAAAATAAAAAGACATCGTTTTTAAGTCATTTAACCATGGTGATGTGGAACTGTTAGGAAGTTAAAGGTATACATGAGAAGGAATAAAAGGGGAGAGTTGAAGGCGGGAAAGGAGGTTAGTTTGTTAGTAGAGAGAGAATATAAATAAGAAACATAATAGAGGGAGAGAGGATCATTAGATATTTTTGCTTGGGTTTAGACTGGACCTCTTGGCTAGTGGAGGAAGGGAGGCTTCCTTGGGGGAACATTTACATGTATTTTCTTCTTTCTATACATTACAGATTGAATAAAATACATATACATACAATTTATCTTCTGCTATTGAGTGTATGAGTGAGAAAAGAGGTTTCTGTTTTAGTTCCCTGAATAAAGGAACCTAACAAGAACATTGTATATTTTAGATATTTGTGTCTTTAAAATACTACTAGTACTGTTAGGTTCCAGACTTGGGAACCTAATATCAATTCTCACTTTCACTCCAAGAAACACAGAAAGATTGGAAGAAATCAATTGTATTCACAGTAAAAGGTTTGTACAAACAGCACCCAGAGGCATAACCCTCTTCAACAGGTAAGTACCCGTTAACAATCTAAACAATCAACAACCCATAACTCTTCTAACCAGCCAGTATTTATACAATCTTACACGCTCCCCCCCTTAACTGTCCTAGACAGTTAGTTTGTTATAGTCAGTTGCACTTATTCCTTCTCTCATACACTAACCACCTTTTCTTATTCCTATCAAGTACTCTCTTTTATCATTTGGGTTTAAGTTTTAATCAATAGCAACTCATTGGAAAAAGAAGTAGCTGGCTACTTGTAGTTGTGTCGAGCCTTGAAAAATGGTCAGCTTACACATTTAATTACCAGGAATAGTTTCAGAACTTTTGTGTTGTATTGTGATCACATCATATGTAGTTACTTAGTATAAACCTTTTTAATAGGGCTTATGTGACCCAAAACACAGATAAATACAATGAAGGTTCTATAGCAAAAATAATGATTTTGGTTATGAAAGTTTTATCCCCATAAGCTTGATGTTTGCTTCCTGATTTTGGTATGATGAGGGCACTTGAGATACACAAGAATATTATAATGAGTTTTAGAAGTTGTATTTCCTTCTCTTAAGATTTCATATTTATAATAACTTGGGATGCATCAGATACAATGTGTAAGAGGGAAAGGAAGAGAATTCTAAAAGATACATCTAGGAACTAGGTCTAGCACAAAACACATAACACCTTACAATAAATCCTATTCAAGACTATTTATTCTAACATGCTGGAGTACACAAATTGTATGTACCTAGCTTGGAACAAATAGATTCAATATGAGGACCTCTTAAAGATTTTGTTATTACATCTGCAAGTTGATCATTTAATCGAACAAACTCCGTGCAAATTTCCTTACACAATAACTTTTCTTGAATAAAATGACAGTCAATTTTAATATGTTTAGTTCTCTCATGAAACATTGGATTGGAAGCAATGTGGAGAGCAACCTGATTATCACAATACATCTCCATCAGTTGGATTTCACAAAAATCTAATTCTTACAAGAATTGTTTTATCCATATAAGCTTATAGATTAGGGATGCCATTGTTCTATACCTAGTTTTTGTAGATGATCGAGCGACAACATTTTGCCTCTTGCTTGTCCAAGAGATAACATTTCTTATAAGCAACATGCAATATCTTGTCATAGAGTGTCTATCCATAGAAGAACCAGCCCAATCAGCGTCAGAATAGCCAACAATTTGGGTATTCCCTTTATTCTCATAATGTAGTCTTTATCCTTGAGCCTTTTTGAGCTATCTTAGAATATGAATGATAACATTCTAGTGATGAATACAAGGAGTGAATTGACTCACAATACCAACTGCGAAGGACAAATTTGATCTAATAATAGATAAATAAGTTTTCCAACCAGTCTTCTATATCTTTTAGTGTTAGAGAAAAATTCTCCTTGTTTTGCCTTTAATTTTCGATTTGGATCTATGAGACAATCCACTGGTTTACAATAAATAATGCTTGTCTCTTTAAGGATGTCATGAGTGTATTTTCTTTGAGAGATTACAACTCCTTTCTTTGATTGAGCTACTTCTATGCCTAAAAGATATTTGAGATTTCAAAGGTCATTGGTTTGAACCCTGATTGCATAGGTGCTCCTTTAACTAAGAATTTAGTGTCATGATTCCCTGTAATGATTATATCGTCAACATAAACTATTAAGTATACACATTTTCCAGTTGAGGTATGACAATAGAAAACAGAGTGGTCTGCCTCACTATGTTTCGACCCAAAAGATTGAACAATGTGACCAAACTTTCTAAACCAAGCATGGGGAGATTGTTTTAGACCATAGAGAGAGCAACACAACTTACAAACCAAACCAGACCCTCTCGGAGCAACAGAGGTTCTTCTATGTACACCTCTTTTAAATTGTCATGCAAAAAATCATTTTTAACATCTAATTGATGAAGGGCTAAAGATGAGTGGTTGTCATGGCAAGGAAAAGTTTGACAGTAGTCATTTTGGTCATCGGAGAAAAAGTATCACTGTAATCGAGTCCATAGATCTAAGTATATCATTTTTTTACCAATTGAGCTTTGAGGTGATCTGAGAGATAATGCGGACAGTGACCGATTGATAATTCTTTTGCCTAACAAAAACAAGACAAAGACTAGCAGAATGGGATCGACTCGTTCTCATACCAACTAGAGAAAGATACACAAGAATATTAGAATGAATTTTAGACGGTGTATTTCCCTCTTCATATTTATAATAACTTGGGATACATCAGATACAGTGTATGAGAGGGAAAGGATGAGAATTCTAAAAGATACATCTAGGAACTAGGTCTGGCATAAAACATATAGTACCTCACAATAAATCCTATTTAAGACTATTTATTCTTATAGGGGCTAAATTCTGACTATGGTGTCTGAAATTTTATCCCCGTAAGCATGATGTTTGCTTCCTAATTTTGGTAAAATGTGGGCTAAATTTTGATTATGGTATCTGCTTTTGTACACATACACTCTTCACTTCTGTTTACCTGCAAGAAATAGGGCTAACTTTGCATCACTACCTCAAAATGGCAACTGTGAAGATTAAAATTACATTTACCTTTACCAACTTCAAGATTGTATATTGAAATGCTGACACAGGTTATGTCGTGACTTGTATGTGGTTCTAATGTTCAGTTCATGAAAGGGTGCTTAGGACAAGTGACGACTTTGTCTGGCCTGTTGATACTGCATTCCTTGGTCGCTTTGTTATTGATGTTGAATTTCTTGACCTGAAGGCCTTCCCTGGGAATGTGAGTCCCTGATTTTTGTGATCATTACTATGTTTATATGATATTGATGTAAGTGGTTAATGTTATAGTGTATCCCTAAATATAATGGTGTTTGTTTTTTCCTCTAAATATCCATCTGCTTATAAAATACTGCTATAAGTTGCTTGCTAAACGCTAAGAAGCACATGTTCTTTTTCTAATCAATTGTATTGTCTGGAGTGACCCTTACATGTAATAGATTGTTGCTTTTCTAACCTTTGATCAATTCTTTTGAACAACAGGGTGGAGTAACCAGATCTATATGGCCATCTGATGGAAAACTGCAAACTGTTGCAGATCAGAGCGCTCTCCGATGCCTGTCTCGCATGCTTGACGAGGCTATACATGCTGACCTCACCATCATTACTGCAGACGGTACTCTGAAAGCTCACAAGGCAGTTTTATCTGCTAGTTCTACAGTGTTCCATAGTTTGTATCTTCATAATGCTGATGAAGAAGATACATATACGATCCACATGGAAGATATGTCTCAAGAATCCTGCAAGTCCCTCCTAAGTTACCTGTACGGTACTATAAACCAAGAAGATTTCTGGAACCACAGGCTTCCATTGCTTGGAGCAGCCAATAAATATGAGATTGATGATCTCAAAGACGCCTGTGAGGAAAGCCTACTAGAAGATCTTAACTCGGAAAATGTTCTGGAGAGGCTAAATGACGCTTGGCTTTACCAGTTACAGAACTTAAAGAAAGGGTGCTTCACTTTCTTATTTGATTTTGGTAAGATACATGATGTCAGAGATGAAATAAATACGTTTTTCCAACATGCTGACAGGGAGCTAATGCAGGAGATGTTTCAGGAAGTGCTTACAATTTTGAAATAGGTTGCCATGAAACACTTATCATCCTTATATCTTTCAAATGATGGATCCTTCTGTATAATGATGTTTAGTTTAACTTTGTATTGTGCTATATTATAATATGATGTGGATATTACCAATGTCAAAGGAGGAAGTACATTACTTTGTATATAATTGCAACTTCAGTTTGATCGCCTTTTCTATTTCTACTCTATTCACAAGTCAAATATTTTCTTTGGGCCCATTATCACTTGTCAAGCTGAAAGAAGACCCAAGTATGGCTCCAAGGATCATGCAAATCTGGCTAGTTTGCTGTTGAAGTAAAGGGGACTACATGGTAATTGAATCGCATCGCGTATCAGACGGTTGATTTATCGTATCGTGAATCGTACGATTCATAAACATTAAACATTTTGAGTCATTCTTTTAAACTTTTTCGGATGCAGTGACAGTTTCTAGAACCACCCTTTTTTTTTGGGGTGCAGCATTAACTTTACTGAAAGTTAACATTTCCTAATTAGGTTTTAAAATGTTTTAAACAAATGGGCTAAAATTTAGGTTAAAAGTGACCACTCCACATTGGTCATCAAATTCATCTGTGAAATGATGTCAACAATAATATTATCTTAAGCCATATTTGTTTTAGAAGGAAGGTTGTTTCTTGTGCGGAGCATGATGATCCGACTTTTCATATAGAAAGTAATTTTCTTTCTTTTTAAAGGTAGGATTAGATCCATTGAGATAAAATTTTTGAAAATTATTTTTTTTTGTGACCAGGTTTGTGTTTGTACCTTTTGGAAACATGTTTGTCTTATATCATATTTGCTTTTGTAGACAAAGCTTTGGCCCTTGCAGCAACACATTCTTCCCTGTTAGTATCTTCAATAATTATGTGTGTGATGAGCTTTGGAAGTGACATATGTTTGTGTCTATGTTTGAACTCTTGTTTATAATAAGTTCAAAGTAATTTCTCGATCGGAAGTTATGAAACAAACTCATCGGGTAGAAGAATGTTCTTCGCTTGATGTTTTCAAGCCACTTGTGGCACTCATTGATTTGAGACTTTATGTCCTTTTCTTCAATCATCTCCCAGCAGTAGTAGTTCTTTATGATGAACCTTTGTTTGACGACATCTTCAGTAGTGTATTTGAGAATTAACGAATCCCAAATGTCTTTCACTTACTTATAGGAATAATACACATAAAAAAAAATCATTTGAAAGTACACTAAGTAAAGTATGTCGGCATACCTTGTTCATATGAATCCAATCTTCAACTTGTTTTGAATTTGAAGGGAGACTGAAGTCAAATTTTGGAGATGAAAGAGCAATAACAACTCCGTACATATCTAACAGGGTAGGCACACGTTCTTGCTAGCGTCGAAAGTTCTGTCCAGAGAATACTTTAATTTTTGACATATTCGATAACGATTTAGCGAAGACTGTTCCATAAACAATGTTTTAAATTTTCGGGATTTGGTTGTTGATGTCAGCCATAAGTCCTTAAGATTATTGTAAAATGCTGACAATAATCACGAATAAAAATTTCTTGAGGCGTGTAGATCCAATATCCTTAAGAACTTATCCGTAATGTGTTGCACAAGTCCCTTATGATACAGCAAAAACTTCCCTATAAATCAGAGGATATTAGAACTAACAAAAAAAACTCCTTTTAAAAGAGCAAGAATACCCAAAATATTATAAAGGAAGATATAAGATAGATAAGAGAGCGAGAGAGAAGAAAATAGAGCATGAAAGTAAGTTTTCGAAGATGAGCATAAGCCTTTATTTATATATGATGGAAGTGAATTAAAAAGCCACGAAAATGAGTTGTAGAAGATGAACATTAGATCCAAGCTTCCCACTAAGGTTCATGGATGAATCTCGGGACTTGTGGAGGTGAACGTTGTGAGTGGTAGAAACTGGACACGAATCTTGCAAATAAACATTGTGAGTGGTAGAAACTGGACACGAATCTTGCAAATAAACATTGTGAAGAAAGGGTGAACATTACTTCCTATCTAATAACGGTTGAATTTACCGTTATTTGTGATGCTATTTTGATACTAAAATAACCCTTTTTGACTTTGAAGCTTGCTTAAACTCTTGTTTTAGTTGAATTTGGTGAATAAGTGAAGAGAGGTTATACTTTATGAATTTGATCACTAATTCCCTCAATTTTGTAGGTTATTGGTGCTACCAATGAGGAGCATTGGTATCTTGAAGCTACTGTGAAGTTTTGATGTTGATAAAAGCTGAAGAATTGAAGACTCTAAGTGCATCTTTGTTAAACGCATTTTGTAGAAACAAATATATAGGATAAATTGTAATGACGTAAAAACTCTTAGAAGTTTTCTTATTTAGTGAGTCATTGGGCAAATAATCGGTTATCAAGAGTGATAATCGATTATCACGAGCCAATTTAGAAAAGAGTTCCTCGCGCAAATAATTGATTATTACACAGAATAATCGATTATCACTGTTTCATTTAATATTGTCCAAAGTCTTTGGAATAATCGATTATGCCTCAGGATAATCGATTATCACATTTTGAAAACCCCATAACGGACACAAATAATCGATTATCACTTACGATAATAGATTATTTTTGGCAGTTGGGAGATGTCTTTTCAGTTTCTGACCTTGGGCTTATAAATAGATTTTTCCACAACTCTTAGAACTTAACTTTTCATTTTGAGAGTATTAGAGCTTTGTGCCTAAGTGAAGCTATCTGAGAGTGAAAAGGGATCTATGCCATTTGAGAATACAGTTTGTCTGAGGAAGTTCTCAAGTGATAGAGTTGCTTAAGTCAAGTCTTGTGAATAGGAGAAGCTCGTGCTTAGTGTGTCTAAGGTCGGAGCGGTTCTCTTCAAGTTGGCTGAGTAGGTTCTTCCGGTTCGTTTATCAAAGGAAGGTTCTTCCATTCATTTGCCGAACGAAAGGTGTTCTCGTTTCTTAATCTTTACTTCATATCTTGTAATCTGTACAAACATTATTTTAGTAAAAAAGGTTAATCACTATTCATAGTGATTAATAACTGGACGTAGAATCTTTTGATTCAAACCAGGATTATATTTCTATGTTGATTTTCTTGAACTCTACACTCTTTAAACTCTTAGCACATCAACTGTTTGATAAAAGTTCTCTTAGAAAATAAATTTTTGAAACCGACTATTTTAACTTGACTTTTGACCGTAACACGCTTTCCGCTTATTTTATTCCGCTGCGCGACTCTACGATATCGGTTGTCCTGATACCGACAATTGGTATCAGAGCTTGCTTTGATAGTTTTTCAAATTTTTCGAAAATGGGCGGTCATAACCAAGTTTATGCTGAGGGTGCTTCTATTGATAGACCTCCTTTGTTTATGGGGGAAAATTATGCGTTTTGGAAAGTAATAATGCAAATATTTTTAGAGTCAATTAAAAGGGTATTTGGGAAGTTGTCTTGAATGGTCCTTTTATTCCTACTGTAAATTTGAATGGTGTAGAGGAAGAAAAACCATATTTTCAATGGACTGCTGAAGAAAATAGATGAGCCCAATTTGATATAAAAGCTCACAATATAATATCCCCTACTTTGGTATTAGATGAATTTTACAGGATTTCAGTGTGCAAAACGGCTCAGGAAATGTGGGAAGTTCTTCGAGTAACCCATGAAGGAACTGACGATGTGAAGCGTGCTAGGAAGAACACCTTGATACAGGAGCATGAGATGTTTAGGATGCAACAGGGTGAAACCATCGCTGATGTGCAAAAATGCTTCACACATATTGTCAACCATCTTTTTGGTTTAGGTAAGAAATTTGACATTGACGAATTAAATGTTAAAATTCTGAAATCTTTGAACAGGACATGGCAGCCAAAGGTTAATGCGATAACTGAGTTGCAGGGCTTGACGTCCATGTCTATGGCTGTACTTTTTGGAAAGTTGAGAGAGCACGAGCTCGAGTTGAATAGACTGAGTGCTGAGGAAGCCCAAGGAAAGAAGAAAACATTGACCTTCAAATCTTAACATTCAAAAATTAAGATTTAGAAAAGGATGAGGAATCTGAAGATGGAGACTCAGACGACGAAGATATGATTCACATGTTTAGAAAATTCAACAAGTTCATGAAATCTAAAGGCAAGGAACAAATTAGAAAGGACAGGAAGTAGAAACAAAGATCTTCTTCAAATTACAGGTGTTATGGTTGCGGAGAGAAAGGGCACGTTAATGCGGATTGTCCAAACCTCAAAAAGGGTGAAGAAAAGAAGTCTTTCAAGAAGAAGAATGCTTATGCTGCTTAGGAGGATAATGCATCAAGCACTTCTAGTTCAAGTGTCTCCAATAAAGAAGCCAACTTGTGTTTGACTGTTAGTATTGATGAGAATGCAAGCCAAGTAAGTTGCTCTAGCCTTGACACTAGTGAATTCAATGTAAAAAAAGCTTTTCTTGAATTGCTTGATGAATCTGAGAAATTGAATGCTACTCATAAAAATTTGAAAAAGGAATTTAAAGAATTGCAAATTAAATATGAGAAGGCATTAGATGAGGAAGTAAGTTTGAGAAATAAAATTTGCAACTTGGAAATGAAAGAGTCTTCAAATGTTGAACATCTTGTTGAATGTCTTTCATGTTAGAGTCATATGCTTGATATTGATATTCTTAAAAATCTTCTTGAAGTTGCAACTGGAAATAATAATGTTGAAATGCCTATAACTGTTAAAAAGGTTTATAAAAACAAAAGTGTTTTTAAAAGTAAGAACCAAATTAAAAGAACCCGTATGGTATGAGTTGAAAAAAGAACTGTCTATTATAGAAATTCAAATGTTGTCACATGTTTCTACTGCATGAAAAAGGGGCACACTTCAAATAAATGTAGAATAAAACATTTTGATGTTCCTAATAGATAATATGTTTGGATTCCTGTTATAAAGTAATTTGCCTCAACCTCAAAGGACCTAAATGAGATTATGGGACCAAAACTCTATTGTTTTGTTTTGTAGGTTAATTTTTCAAAAGGAAAAGAAGACTCTATGGTATCCTGGTATTTTTTAAGAGCTTTGAAATAATTTATGAATTTTATATGTGTCTTATGTTGAAAATTTGGCCCAAATTTGTGTTTTTTGGAAATTAACGTAAATAATCGATTACCAAGGGTAATAATCGATTAGCTCATCCTCAAAATTTGGTTTTTGACAATTTAGCTCGCAAATAATCGATTATTTAAA